AAAATGATTGTGTCAGGGAAATGATTTGTCGGGAAAGTGATTGTCAGGAAAATTAATGTCGGGGAAATGATAGGGATTCATTTTAATCCGGAATTTTAGTACACAACAAAATTTTCGTGTTTCACAAAATCATAATTTTTTAGTGCAGTTTTAAAAATACTTCTCAAGAATTTATCATTTACTTAACATAATATTGTTACATGTCCCGTATCCAGATATAAAAATGCTTTATCATGCAAGTAAATTAGCACTTTAACGTAAACTTATTTATAACATAATACTGTAAATAATAATTATATTGCCCGAAGCGTAGCGGGACTCTTTCAAATACATAGTGAATCTCAATGCCATAATGCGTTATGATATAACTATTAGGCTAATTTTGATGTGATTTATTCTAAATTTGATTAATAAAATTTGATTAATAATAATATGTGGAATGATAAACATATAAAATGTTTATACAATAAGATAGTTAATATATTTTTGCTTTTATTCTTAACCATTCATATCACTACTATCAACCCACATTTTTCTCTTTTTAGAATCGATATCTATTTTTCTCCTTTCGGAATCAATGTCTATTTTTCTCTTTTTGGAATCAATATCCATTTCTATATTTTCAGTAGTTTCGATGTCAATTTTTATATTTTCAACATCAATATTATTATCTGATATAACACATTTTTGCAGTTGATTTATACAACTAATAAGTTTACTACTATAGATAAAATTACTATCGTTATCGTTACTATCGCTAGAGCAATTATTTTCTATTATCATTTCATTATCAGAGTTTATAAATTCTGCTAAAATTTTAAAGTCATTCTTCCATTTTGTAATTGTTTCATAAATTTCTAAAGCTGATGGTCGCTTATCCCGATTTTTATCCCAACAATTCATTAAAAGTTCTGAATAACGCGTCACTGTACCTTCAAGAATATGAGGTCTTAATCCACTACAAATTTCTATAATTAAGCTTAATTCATTACTTTCATATTTAGAAAATGCAATATCTCCTGAAGAAATTTCCCACATAATTATTCCAAATGAATAAATGTCCGATGCTTTAGTAAACGGTTTTCCTTGTAAAATTTCAGGCGCAATATAAGGTATTGCACCATAAATTTCTCCAGATTCTGAGTCTAATGTTTTATTTATTGCTGTTGCAAATCCTAAATCTCCAATATATGCAGTATGTAAATTGTCCTGGAATATGTTTCCACTGTGTAAATCTCGATGAATAATATCATTTGAGTGAATTAATTGAAGATCAAGTGCAATATAAGATATCAATTCTAATTTTTTCGTCCATTCCATCTGTGCAATTTTGTAAAGATTCTTACGTAAAGATCCCATTTCTGCATATTGCATCACTAGCATATAATCGCCTGTACCTTCATCCTTCGATACACCATAACATTGCAAAAACGTTGGATTTTCAAATCCAATATTAGAATATGCATTTAGCTTTAAAAATATTTATTAATTAAATTAATAGTTGACTTTAAACTTCAATAAAATTTGAAGTATCGAATACCCACCTCTTTCACAAGTTCCTTACAGTTATTATTGTTTCCACGAAATAATTTAAGTGCAACAGGTTCATATGTAATTCCATTTCTACTTTGAGTCCATGTAGCAGAATAGACTGTTGCAAACCCGCCTTTTCCAATTTTTTTTATAAATTCTAATTCAATAAATGGAACCCATGACATTAATTTATTTTCTAATAATAATTTTTTTAGAAAATTATCAATATCAACATTTATACTACTATTTATTTGTTGAGAATTAATTCTTGCTTTTTGCAACCATTCAATAGCCTTTTCTTGATTAGGTAATGTTCCAACTCCGTTTCGATAACATAATCCAAGTTCATATTGTCCATCAGGATTACCACCTTCTGCAGATTTTAAAAGCCATTCAAACGCCTTTTTTTCATCTTCTATAGCGTTTTTATTTCCCAGATAATACATTGCAAGATTAATTTGTCCATTCGAATTACCACCTTCGGCAGATTTCAAATACCATTCAAATGCCTTTTTTTCATCCATAGCTGTGCCTATGCCGTTTTGGTAGCAATATCCAAGGTTACATTGTCCATCCGAATCGCCACCTTCAGCAGATTTCAAATACCACTTAAATGCCTTTTTTTCATCCTTAGTTGTGCCTATCCCTTCATCATAGAAAAATCCAAGGTTACATTGTCCATTAGAATTGTCGCCTTCAGCAGATTTTGAATACCATTCAAATGCCTTTTTTTCATCCTTAGCTGTGCCTATACCATTTCTGTAGCAAAATCCCAGGTTACACTGTCCTTGAGAATTGTCACCTTCAGCAGATTTCAAATACCATTCAAATGCCTTTTTTTCATCTTTAGCTGTGCCTATGCTATTCATGTAGCAAAATCCAAGATTAAGTTGCCCTTGAGAATTGCAACCTTCAGCAGATTTCAAATACCATTCAAATGCCTTTTTTTCATTTTTAGCAGTGCCTCCGCCATGTTCATAGCAAAATCCAAGGTTACATTGTCCATTAGAATTACCACCTACAGCAGATTTCAAATACCATTCAAATGCCTTTTTTTCATTCTTAGCTGTGCCTATGCCATTTCTGTAGCAATCTCCAAGGTTACATTGTCCATCCGAATCGCCACCTTTAGCAGATTTCAAATACCATTCAAATGCCTCTTTTTTATTTGTATCTGCACCTATGCCATCTTCATAGCAAAGTCCAAGGTTGTATTGTCCAATAGAACTACCACCTTCAGCAGATTTTAAATACCATTCAAATGTCTTTTTTTCATCCTTAGCTGTGCCTATGCCATTTAGGTAGCAGTATCCAAGGTTACATTGTCCTTTTGAATTGCCACCTTCAGCAGATTTCAAATACCATTCGAATGCCTTTTTTTCATTCTTAGCTGTGCCTATGCCTTTTTCATAGCAAACTCCAATGTTAGATTGTCCTCGAGAATTGCCACCTTCAGCAGATTTCAAATACCATTCGAATGCCTCTTTTTCATCCTTAACTGTACCTATGCCGTTTTGGTAGTACCATCCAAGTTTAGCTTGCGCAAATGGATCTCCATTTTTAGCAGTCTCTAAATAAGATTCAAATTCAACACTTTTATTATCCATGACAAAATGTGATCCTAAATATTTTACCTAATTATTACGTTTTTGGAAACTTAGTAATGCTATATTTTCTCTGATATTCAATGATCTTTATCATGTATGTCTGGTTAAACCCGTTAGGTTAATCCGAATTAATTTTCCGTTTAACATAAAATAAATAGCTCACAAGAGTGGTGGGAGGGGTATATAAAAAAACAAATTAATAAAAATACAGTAATTCTATTGGCTGTAAAAAATGCAAAAATTTAAAAACTAATCAATTTTGGAAATTATTTTAATGTTATATATAACGCTAAATTTGTATATACGTTTAATATCAGATACGTAATTGTTTGTACGTAACTTATTCAGAAATTATTTATCGTTATACTAATATTAAATGTGTAACACTAAATTTGTGTATATGATAATTGTTTTGCAAATTGTAATCATCACCGTCACTTTACTACTCGTTCTAAGGCCTGACAAACTATTGTTTTGTATTATTTATAATTAGAAATAAATATTATATTTAATAAGTTACATTCAATTTCGGTATTAAATTAATCTATTGACACGAGCGAAACAGCGAGTCAGTTGCTTGACAAATGGGTATGTCGTGTAACCTACGAACGGCTTAGTCGATAAGAGGCGGTTAGATTTGGAGAGTGGTGTGTTTA